CCCGCTCTCTATTCTTTAGGTCTCATGTTCAAATCCGCCAGTCGCCGTAATTTCGTAAGTAATAATTGTTCGGCTACTTCTAGGGAGAAGGATAGAGATATCTTGAAGGAAATGGACTATGTAGACAGCCACATCGATAGTGACACATAACATTCTTTTTTTCGTTTTGTTCGGAAGTTTTGATAAACGCGTTTGAACGCTTCAAATGTTTCATTTCTAGGCCGTTTTTAAGTGTTTGATGAACAAAACGCGTTTGAACGCTACTTGTCAGATAAACGCGTTCGAACGCGTTGGTATAGAAGGGAAACAAAAGGCGTTTGAACGGTGCAAATGTTTCATTTTTAAGCCGTTTAAACGCGTTTGGATTGCGTTTATAAACGCCGTTCGTAAACGCGTTTTTTAGAGCTGAAATTGTTACATGGGATAGACCTCATAAATGACTAAGATAAAGATTTGATAATGAAAACTAACATCTGAACATTTCGTCTGAAGGGAAGTCCAAGATGTTAACTAGTTTATGGGAAAGGGTGAAATTTAGATAATTTAGTTCAGTTCAGTCTTTACAACTACGATTGATAATACAGAGATAAATTTGCTTTCTTAATGCTGATAAAATGATGGTCGATGATCCCTATATGGTTGTTGGTCTGGAATCGGATCTGGTCACGATCGCCAATGTGAGATTTTACACCCCTCTTAGAATTTCCAATGTCTATGTGTGCAGTTTTCTGGCTTTTCTCGTTATTAAAAGACACAAAAAAAAGATAAGGGAAAAAGACGCCACGTTTAAATTGCAACTGTATAACTATTATAGTAAAAAGCAGTAGAGTGACACATCCAGATATGCATAAACATTAACAAAAGAACATAAGGGAGGCGTGAGTGAATGAATATCATAAGTATATAAAGCCGCTGTGGCATGATAACAATAAAAAGAAATAGTGTCAGGGAATAAAGCGAAGTGCATGCGAGGTAAAGTACTTAATATAATAACTTTCTAACAAGAGTTGTGGTTCATTTTGTTGTAGACTGAAAAATCTCTATTACTGGAGGAGACATTCGATAAAAAGAGAGTTTACGATATCACCCTTTAAATAATGAACTAGGTGGTGTATCTACGACGCTATATGATACAGATTTAGCAAATCCTACACGATTCTTTGCAATATCATAAATCGAATAAAAGCGCACAAGAAAATAATCCCCTAATATCCAGAATAAGCGTCCCTTATCATCGGGGTCATCGCCATCTTGAAATGCAGTGTAACAAACCCATTTATTATTAACTGTTTTGCCCCATAATAAATAGTGTAATGGTGTTAAGACAAATGCTGTATTACCAATTGTAAATGTCACACTTGGAAACGAAGACAGCTTGCGTGAACAATTAACGCTGTACTAAACACAATGCAAACAGAAGAAGACAGATATGTAATACTTCAAATAGTCCGTTAGCAAATTCGATCTAGTATTTAAGTACAATGAGTGATAGGCGCATCCTGATGAAGTGACACAGAAACAATACTACTGAGATGTGGCTTCCTTTCAAGGAGATGCATATGACTCATTCTTAATGCAAGAGAGAATCCTAGTAAGAGGTCTGTTTATTTTCTTCCTAGAACGTACTTCATACGCAAAATAAACTGCAAAATAAACTGTACTTTAAAATAAACTTCGTAAAAGAATTTCAAAAGTGTTTTATCTAAGCCGAACCTGACGCAAAAAAGTACTCTCCTGGCCGCCTCATTCATAGTGTTGATCAATGATAATGAGCAATACGCAAATAACAGTACTAATGCATGTGTGTGATGCAATTTTTGTACTTACTAAACCAACATTAGCGTCCAACTTGCCGCCTATTAATTTATTCAATTTGCTGACTTGTGATGATGGACCAGTTATGTACGTTGTACCCGTATCAGCTATGGCATAACATCCAGAACATACTTTTGTATTTAAAGCACTAACACTATTCATGGAAAATTCCCAGTAGCCTTTAAGAACTACCGGTACATAGGTTACTGGAGCTTTGTATTTCGTTGTGTCGGCACCACCAAATGTTAATTTACCAGGTTGTGCAAGTCTAAGCAAGAATTAACTAAACGTTTCATCTTCGGAACCAGAAAGGATGCTTTATGACAAAATGTTTTCTCAATTCTTACCAGTGATTTAGATATAGAAAGTTACCGTGGTCGAAAATTTCCACAGAAGGAAAGTTTATCACTACTGTTGATTGAGGTGAGAAAGCGCTCATCTGAATTTGTTCTGATGTAAGGTGAACTCCGAGAGGCGTAGAGTTTAATTTTGTATGTAGGACATGTAGAGGAGAACTGTGTTCATCGCAGCTGAACTACTCAAGAATGAGAACAACTGATGTTCTGTTTAAAAGTTCGATTTTTCATCTTGCATACACTACAGGGAAATTAAACAGAACATTTTATTTGCAATATTCAAGAGATGATCACCATTTTCGAATATTTGGAAAAAAAAGCATTTTCGCGAAACATTTAGAACCCGAGATAGCGAAAGACACACCTGTAGTAAAAGCTTTTGCTTAGAGACATTATGCTTTCGTTAAGTCATAGCGCAGACAGATAAAACGCAAAATCTCCAGAAAATCCATAGAAGAACATTTCACGCACTACTCGAGGATCAAGATCAGTCAATTTTCTCATACGACTCCCTATATCGAACAAAAGTATACACCAAATCGAACCTTTGCCTCCACTTTTATCAGTAAAGTGAAGAGAGATGGAGACTATTCTTAAGTATTTTCCATCCCAGCGTTCGCAAATGCAGCAGCAATTTGCTTTAAAGGCAAAATTAGAGCTCTGTGAACATGATAGCGGATGCACTTCTACGACAGTCGATACACCATTATTTTATTGTTCTGTCCTTTTTTCTTATCGAGTCTAATGTCTGATACCTCTTGATTGTCGCTATCGTCGTTCTGTTTGTTTGCTTATTTTGTTTCTTTCTGTTTTGCAGAGAAGGTACCACGCTATTCAGTCAATCATAGGTACAGTGAGAAATCAGCACATGAAAAGCTGCTTGCGCAGAAAGGAACTGATCAAGTTTTCTTGCTCCCCCTTTCTACTTGTTCACTTCTTTTTTTTGTAATGACCGGGATACTTTTCCGGTTTTTAAAAATTGATTTCATTCCCACTTTCCAAGGCGCCTCTGGACAGTGCCTTCGTTAGCAATACTCCTTAATTGGAGTTTAAAATGCATTCTGCAGTTTTCCAAGCGGATGTGTGATCCAACATTCACTGCGCACAACGGGAAAAATGTAGAACATTTGACTGCAACAAAACTCAAAAGATTATTTCCTAAACTCTAAAGAGCGTTTTACTAAACATTATAGGTTTTAATGATTATAAACCCTGTGGGTTTATAACGATTTTTTCAGCAAGTCGTTTGAAAACTTTTCGAGGGTTTATAATTATGGAAAACCTTTGAAGGTTTAGGAAAAATCCTTCGGGGTTTTTAAAAAAAATAAAAAGCCTTTACAGTTTTTCTTGCTAGATGAAAAACCCTTTGGCTTAAAGCAGAATTTTTTTTTCTAGTAAATTCCTCGTGAAAAACCGTTGAGGGTTTAGTAAGCGTACTAAACCTTTTAAGGTTAGTCAACGATGCTTTTTTAAGAGTGTATTGATGTTCTTCTAGTACGCAGGGACTGAAAAAAATCTAGAAACTGAACGGATACGTACGGATGAAAATAAAATGCAAATGTTGGTTGTGGTATAAGGCCTTGTTTATACATATTAAAAAATAATGGCGTTTCACCACCCGTGGTTTCACCTGGATAGGCTAAGCCGAGAAGCCCATCAAAAAGGTTATCTTGAAGACCCGATCCTGAAGTCACCTCAGCAAATAATTGACCTTTCACAGCTTTACCACCCACCTTAATCAATAGGACAATAATCAATAGATTCAAAGACAGCAACAATATCTTACTGTGCACGTGTCATTATCGAATTTTCCTATGGCAGTTGACCCATCACCATAGAGGATAGAAAAGGGTTTACCATTAGGTCTATATGTCGTCGATTTGGAACTAGTATAGCGATTAGATCCACCTAAAACAATGCCAGACAAACGATGTAATTTCTCGAAAAGGCACAAGACATCTACTATTTATATATTCATATAGTTTTAGAAATTTTGAGAATTAACGTACCAAAAACAGCGCTTAAATGTTAATCTATTCCACACTCATGTGAAAAAAGATGTGTCAAAAACCAGAAAAAGCAAACAAGTATTCTCTATCTTTTATACAAAAGTCTTCACAATACTTGATTCGTAAGATTGATAGCCTTGGTTTCAATTTATCTCAGGCATGTTTTGACATTTTCCCTTTCCAACAGAACATTATTCATCATCAAAAATCGGTCCTTACTTTGAAGAAATATGAAGAATTTTTTGATAATTCAGTTCGCATTCAAGTCAATCAGAGACTAACTGATACTGTCGGCTAGATTATAATTCATAAAATTGGTTAACAACTAAATATTTGATCAATGCCTTTAATTTGCACCTAGTACGCACTGTTAAGTGAAAGCTTTATCCAAATCTCGCGGCATATTTTGTTTTATGCGTCAGTCGATAGACTTTTATGCGCTGATTTCCGTCCGCATATGACATTTGTTTTTATAAATTGAAATTGTGATGAAAATCCGAATCCTGTATGTGTTATAGGTACTAAAAGAGATTCATGTGAAGTTTGACCTCTATCAAACGCAGGAAAAAGTGGAAAATCTATCGGACTAGAAGGATTTGCTTTTCGGACATTTTCTAAGCGTAGCAAGATGTTTGTCTGAAGAGCAAGGTTCGATCACTAAAAAAGTTTCAAAGTACCGAATCATTAAATTTATACTCGACATCGTTATCAACATACAGATTCCCTGGGACTATCAAACAAACTGAAATTTCATCTTTTACGGCAGTTTTCACTTGTTGTTCATGATGAAGTTTGGTGATGTTTCAAGGTAAACGATTGAAAACATAGATGTTTAGAATCGAATGAAATATGAATACACTGATCGCTGATACTTTCAAATCATATTTCTTAGTCCAGTCAGAGAATATACTGCATTTGAAATATAATCAACTTGACCTTACCACAACCTTTACCACAACTTGGACCTGGTACCCACAAATCGGATGATCCAGTATCAAAATCAACATAAAATTTTTGGTTTGGTGTGCCAATATAAATGAGACCCATCCAGTATGTCTATGAAGAAAAAAGAAATATCGAATACTAACTTTCTCTTTCTGTCTAATAATCATGGATCACAACAGAATTCTTACACCGCTTAATTTATTTAACAAGTCCACGTTTCCAGCTGTTGCGGCTTTGGCTAGTCGTGCCGGCGGCGGACACTTTCGATGTCGGATTGAGAAACTACAATTTCGTTGCACACGTGTAGTTGATATACTAGGGTGAAATAGAGAAACAAATCCAGTAAATCTCTACATTTTAAATGCCACATATATGTAGAACACAAACCTTGGCAATTCTATTGACTGAACAGCAACAACAAAAATAAACATAACCAGAATAATTAATTTCATATTGAGCAAGGAATAATGGAAGAAATTGTGCGTTGTTGATTTGATGCGTATCAATTGATTTTGTCGGCTACAGCTAAATGAACTGATATTCACTTTGCTGTTCTGCTTCTGTAACTTGCTTTATGATAGAATGACTATTTATACGAATTCAGAGAGAATGGAAGAAAAGAAGTCTTGAAACTGTTTGATTACTCTTCAGTGATGATTCAGAAAAAGTAAGTAAAAACAAGCGGTTATTATTTCAATTCTATAGCCGCTTGCCCAATAGTATGAAAATATACTTATTTTCTTTTCCTCCAGGCATATCTGAATGTGTTGCGTGCATTGGTTTTTTTCATTTCTTTATCGTGCCTTCTGTGTTTTTACGCAAAATGTTTGTTGCTTTTAATTCAATAGAGATAGAATAACAATTCAGTTTTTATAAAGTGATTAGATACCCTTTTCTAAAAGCATTTTCTGATTGTTTTTGTATTATGAATCAGTTGTTATGATTGTTGTAAATAGTTTTTTCTCGAGCAAAAGTGAGCGCAGTAGAAAACGGCAAAAGCACAACTAAACTACCTGATTCTTTTCGATAATACTAATAAATATCGCTTTCTCTGGAGCCTGTTCACGCATAACGGACTGACCGTTATCCAGTATCTTAATAGCTCATTCAATAAAGAAGGCGCCGGATTTGTATTCTTCATTGATTTTTACCAGCAAAAATACATTGTAGGAAACTGACCAAAAATGGGCGTGAATGTCCATTGCTACAAGGATATGCTCGCTTTCCAGCTCATGTGGAATTTAGATAAAAAACTTGCAATAGAAGTTGCAAATAATAAGTTGTTCTATCTAACAGTACAAAAGAAAATGCTAGGTACTATAATGCTTTCTACAGAACAACGAAAATAAAATAAAACCGTAACGGATTGACCTGGTTTTTCACATTTCTTTTGCGAGGGTTTATTTGATAGAAAACATCTGATAATGGGACAACTAAGATCTGATTTGAAAGGAAAGGTATACAATCAAGTTTTCTGTACTCGATTCAGTCAAAATGAATTCGAAAGAATGTTTTCGACAGATGTAAGATCGTTTCGAAAAAGAGCTTCAAAAGAACTCACACTAAATTTATTACGTCTGTAAAACGCTTTTTCGGACGATATTTAGAAAATAGTGAATTTTGTGAAGAATTTGATTCTCTATCTTCTCATTATTATATGAGAGGATAGAGAGCCAAATAGTACAAATAATGATTAAAATATTAATCACACTAATAATCAAGCACAGAAAGCAATATGAGTCATATTGCTTTTAAAGTTTTATCGAAAAGTAAGTGGGTTAGATAATTCAAATTAACCTTTTCGCGTTCGTAATTAAAAAAAAGAAAATTTTTTTTTAAATTTCTTTTTAAAGTTGATATTCGTCATCAGCACGAAAAACTACGCCTAACCATGTATTTTTAAGGGTTATCTTGGAGAAAAAGTCTTCTTCATACTCGATAACTCCGCGAAACTTTTACCTGAACACGCTCTCTATGAAAAGTAATGGAAAGAAAAACAAAGCAAACAACATTTTTCCACATTCTCTCTCACGATGGAACCTCTTGAGGTTATAAGTCGCTTTTGGACTCGGACTACTTGCATCTTCTAGACGTCGCTGAGTAGTGAAATACTTTAAGTTGGTTTGTGCCCATGGTGCTTTGGGACGGAGTTATGCCTATTTCAAGTTTTGATCAAAAAACACGATTTTGGTCCTAAATCTTTGATTTCTTTGTCAAACAAAGTCCTATAGGCGTGATATTTTTACTGTTACCACTAGTCATGCTGGCCATGCTCCACTGAAAGTTTGAGCTCTATCACTCGACGGCCTCCGTAGTTTTCGAAAATTTTGAAAATTTTTCGTCCGTTATTATTATTATTTCGGCCGTTATTACGTATGAGTGTGCTTCGAGATAGAGGCTTCGACAGAGCTAATATTTTGAGCATCTAAAGAGGCAGTCATGAACTAAATATAGTAAAAGTTTAAGCTTATTTCAACACTCCTAGGTGCAGCTACGTAGTTTTCATTATTAGTAGTATGTGTGATTCGCAGCACTCATTCTCATCAAGTATAAGATCTTTCTGCTACGCATTGATAAAAAGAATTATGTGCATCCAGATTCTTGTTTCTTTCCTTTCTTCGTTTCACACGTTGGTGTGTATCAGATCAGTAGAACAGACTAAGATAAATTTATTCTCATATCATTCGAACCCTAT